AGTAAGCCTACTCAGGCAAGTCCACGGCGTCTTCAGTAGTAAACTGTAGCTCTGGATATGGTGAAATTTATGACCGTTAAGGAAACAGCAATAAAAGAATTTTCTTAACAACATCTTGATTTCAAGTACCCTCTAAGCCGTATTCTTATTGAACATGTACGGTACATAGAAAGTATATGTATGTCTTTTTGTGAATTTTCGCTGGATTGCTGGCACGAGTTGTTATTTTGGCTCCCAACCTCCGCCGGAAGGAAACTCTCGGCTTTCGTGAAAAGCCAAGAAAGAAAACAAAACACAAAATAGTTCGAGGAAGCGAAGAAAAAAAGAAAAACTTAACTTTCAAGTTTTGTATAAGACAAAGTAAATTTTTCTTACGTTGCCTCCTAAAACGTTCGTCATGCATTTGTGGCTGTCGTCGTATCGCTTGTAATCCGCCGTAGGTTGTATTGTTACATGTACAATGTTGTCTTGCGCTTTCCTCTACTCGAGGAAAAGGAAGTGTGGGTTCCCCCTCTACTGGTAAGGCTCTCTGATTTTCTCTGGCGTACTCCACACGAGCTCTTTCATTCCCTGATGGTCGGATGATTTTTACCATGTTGTAGAGTATGATCATACATCAGATAACAACAACCAATAGGACGACGCAAGCAAAACAGAGCATTTCGGTGATCATGACTGGGGAATAAGCTTCAGCTTCGATACTATTACAGGCGTCCAAATAGAAATAGGGCAACATGCAAGCAGGTTTGGTCAGTAATTGCTCTTCTGCGAAATAAGGATTTACTGTAGTCTAGCTGAACTTATGAATTCTTGGTTTGCACGCGACGTCACGTCCGGATTTTACAATTTTTACCGGCCATGTTGTGTACAGGAAGCAGGTTCGTCAGCAATTACTCCTCTGTGAAATAACGATTTATTCTAGTCTAGCTGAACTTAGGAATTCTTGGTTTGCATGCGACGTCACGTCCGGATTTCACAATTTTTAAATTTTTATCCGCCATCTTTGTGTACGGGAGGCTCATTATCATATGTCAAATCACCCACGTGTGTTAGTATTTTGGATTAACTAGTGCTATGTCAAGCGTTATCGTGAGTGGTTCTGGGGAGGTGTGGTAAATGTATTTCAACCCTTTTATCTCGGGGTTTTTATTTTTAATTTTAAAACAAATATTTTCTTGAACGGATTCGTGATGTCGCGAGATTTTTTCTATCGATGTTATTAAGGTTTAGCGTTTCCTGAAATACTAGAGCCCTACGTGACAGACATGGGCAAAATAAACAATTCAACGCGAAATCTTCATTCTTCGAAGTACGTTCTGCCGCGCCTGTTCAGTTGTGGTTTTCCTGATAAGGCTTGTTTTCAGTTTAAATTACCTTTGTTTTGGGAGAGACCCAGCGGGAGTTATATATCGTTCGATTTGCCAAGCTTACATTGCAGATCAGGCAGTGTGCGCACTCCGATTGCGTTGCATTGTGGTAGCTTCATTTCAATATGGCGGTGAAAACAGCAGAATTCGGCAGATTTTGTCTGAACATTCCGTAAAAGTTAGGCCATTCCTTTTTCCTTTCACCATAGGTAAATGTAATTTGATTTATTCTGAACGTGTAAAAGTATTTTTCGTTCATATTTTTCGCGTATTCTATGGTTCTCAAGGATAAACGTGATCACTGGTTTTTTTGTATGTAATTTGAAACCGGATTTCAAGAAGGTCAAATTTCAAAGATTTGGATGGCTGCTTTGATCCTTCTTTAACAGCTCTGACCAAACGCTCTCAACTCCAACGGTACATGTGTTTCTCGCATTTTAAGTGCGGGTGTTTGAGACCGGTTATGGCCGAGAAAAGGCTTATTGTTGCGTTACACAGCGTTACTATTATATACTTTCCTAAGTAAGAGGAAATTAACTTATCGTGAGTGTTGTATGGTAAATCTACTATCTTGATCATTGGATGAAGGACGATAGAGATGGACTTCTTTGCGTCATAGAGGCTTGTACTAAGCGACAGGTAACTTTACATTCAAGTTCTTTCGATTTTCGAAATTTCTATAATTCTATCGATACGCTCAGAACGTAAACAAAAACTGATCGCTGATTAGGACTTTTATTTTAATAAAACTATTTACAGCATGTTGGGTTCACTAGTTACACAGGCGAGCGCCACGAATTTTAAGTCACTTATCAACCAATACCCTTTCGAACAATCATTACAAGTGTACCACTGAGTGAGTTTACTTCGCTAACGCTCAAGCTGTTGTGAGATCGTTATAATTAAGTGGATGTAAATCAATGGATTAAACATGCATATGATGAAGAGAAATAAACCGGAACCAAACAGACGTAAAATGAAACATTTATATATCTTAACATAAATTCGACATTCCTAAAATGCACGAGGTATCGAGGCCAAAGTAAGTCAGTAATAGTAAATCGAACCTTTTTCTGACCTTTCCCGGCTCTAATTTACAGTGTTCTGACAGATATTTGATAAAAAAACGCGGCGCCGTGAGAGAAGAGGATGATCGTAATGGAGAACTATAATTGCATAAGCACATTTTTGCCTGGCACTAGTATGGTTTCTGTAACAGAATTATCTACATAGTCATGCACGTCATACAACAAAACTTTGAGGATCAACTCGTCGTCTCCGACCAATATAAAAGGTTAGCATTGTGACTTTAGTGGAGTCACAGGATAGCGAGTGACCAGGAGCATAAAACGAACGCACAAACAACAGACGTATAACAAAGTTTTCCAACCAACTTACAAATTTATTCTTACGATAATCGACGGTAGCAAAGATACGTAGCGATGGCTTTAAAGCACAACAATAGCGTGATACAATTTGATGTGATGTGGTTCGAACTAAAAGGAAATTAAAAATAAACCTATGTAACTTACATTGTATCGTATATCGATTGTGCATAACGACAATGAAATCAACTAAGCCTTTATCTAATAGAAACCGATGTAAACAGAGTAACGAAATCATGCGACAATTATAACAAGTAAAAAAGACTTACTTTGGTTTAGCTCCTAGCTTGATAGCATATAACCCAATGATAGCGACAATAGCGAGATAGCTTGCTCTTAAATAGCGAAGATGTAAACTCGTTGTACAACGATAGCATGTCTTTCGCAAGAAACCCGTAACCTGATAAGTACACGTGTAATATAATAGCTACGGCTACTGGAAAACGTGATCAAATGTTAACACTACAACTATACGTAATCAATCGAGTTAATCATAAACGATAAAATAAAAGGATATAAAAATAGAACGTTTCGAAACTAACAAGCATTATCATCATGATGAGAACGAGGTGCCAAGCAAAATAATAGGACTCAAGGCGTTGAAATGAGACGATTCGGTGGTCAGTAAAACGGGCATAGACAGAAAAAATCGAGTTCTCCTGACAGGTTTTCAACCTAGCAGTATAAGAACAAAGTTCATTATAGTGAAGAAGTACATGAGAATGATGGACGACATTTTTTGGGCGAGGCCAACAATACCAAAATACGTTTGCAGAGGGTGATATAATGCTCAAGGGGGGTAAGTTTCTGAAGAAACAGTGGTGCTGTGTTGGTGGGAGAGTATAACAGGGTAATTTAGTATTCTCAACTAAGTTGATAACGTAAATTGTCCGCCGTAAAGAGTTTAAAAGCCGACGTTTCAAGCGTTAGCCCTCCGTCAGAGCTCACCCGTTCTGGAAAGGAGACTCTGTAACTTGCTGATGCAGACAGCGGATGGCAAACGGCGCGGATGGTGAACAATAAAAATAATGTTCAATGACTGACTTATTTACTTAAACATTTTTCCTTACTGAAAGGTTTAGATAAAAAATAAAAATACAGTGACACAGGATGGTACAGATAATAGTAACTCTTGAGATTTCTGAAAATTACCTAAATTTTAAGAAGCTTAAGTTTGATATTGTGGCCACGACCTTAAAAAACAAAACAAATTACAACAAGTAACACTAACTAAATAAAACCTCGGCAATAAGTTATTACTTTCTTGGCATTTTGTTTATTTTGACACGCACTTTTTTATTACAAATATATGACTGGCTGTTAAAATTTACAGTTTTCAAAGTAGAGTATATGACCACAATGTAACCTTGAATTGAAAAAGAACAAAGCCCTGTTACATTTAAAAAAAGTTCCTATTGTCCATCCATACAACGGCGTTCGCTTTCCCTGTCAAGCCAGTCAGCTCATCGTAGGAACCCGATTAATATGTAAAAAGCTATCAAAAAGAAATGAATGTTCAGTTAGCAGTGAATAGCGTTGGAGGCACGCTCTGATTGGCTCCTCAAACTTCGAATACCTTTGCTATTCACTCTTAAGCATTTCACGCGCGATTTGTGCCCGAAAATATTGTGTAATCGTTATAAGAATAATGAGTTAAAATCATCTCTTTACCACGCTGCTTCACGGCTCGGTAAATGTTCACCACTTGCCACCTCCACTTCGGAGCTTGACTCGGGAATTCGTTTCTGGTCCAGTACTCTTCAGTTGCCTGTGATGAATTCGAGACGAAAACTTCCGTGAAAATGGTGAACACAATATCACATCAAGTCAAGAAAGACAACAAATGATAATATACAGCTTGAATGGTTACAGGTTGTAAGGACAAAAAAAAATTTCGAGTTGTACTGAAACCCCCGGACATTTTTTGTTTGCGGTTGTCGCCGTCTCGCTTGTGATCCGCTGTATGTTGTATTATTACAGGTACCATGTTGTCCTGCACTTCTCTCAGCTCGAGAAAAATAAACTGTAGGTTCCCTCTCTACTGGTAAGGCTCTTTCATTATCTCTGGCGCACACCACACGTACTCTTTCATTCCGTGAGGGTCGGATGTTTTTTACCATGGTGTAGATCTTGATCATACAGCAGAAAACAACCACCAATAAAACGAAGCAAGCCGAACTGATGGTCTCAGCAATCATGACTGAGTAAGGTGTTCGAGGTTCGTCAATGTTTTCAAAAGCGTCTGAATAGAGAGGTGGCCAACAAGCAAGCTGCTTTGGTCTTAAATTGTTCCGCCGCAAATAAAAAGAACTGCGCTCCACTCACAAGGATGATTCAATTCTAGTAACTGTTCGATTTGAGGTCTCAGCAATCATTACTGGGTAAGGTGTTCGAGCTTCGTCAATGTTTTCAAAGGCGCCTGAATAGAGAGGTGGCCAACAAGCAAGCTGCTTTGGTCTTAAATTGCTTCGCCGACAAAAGCCTTAATCTGCAAATTGTTCTTTATTTTCAAGCATAGAGCCAAGATCAAGTGCCGGAGGAACAAGTATGGTGTCATAGTTTTATTCAATTCGATCCTGTGGGTGAAGTCGCGCGTCTGACCGCAAGCAATACAAATTACATTATCTCGAGAGGAAAACACAAATAAACCAACGCAGTTAGTTACTGTTTTTAGGGCCATCTAGTTTTATTTGTACACAGACTTTTTTTCTCAAATCGGCCGTTTTAAACACAGTTTCAATTGTAAAGTATATGCATGAGTATTAAGTATAAAGTATAGGCCGTTTTTCATATTAAAAAAATATATCACTGTTGTCCATCGACACAATGTCATTCACTTTCCCTGGAGAAAGCCAGTTCACCACAGGAACGCGGATAATTTGTGGAAATCTGTTAAAAAGAATGAATGTCCAGTTAGCGAAAGAAGACATGCAGTAAATGTGACTTAACAGTGGCCTTTGTTTTAACCAGACCAACAAAATTTGCAGATGTCTCATCGTGTTTTGATGCAGCGATACACTCGTGCGTTTTTGGAAAGTTGACCAGACGAAGAAACGAAATAAAAACTTTGAAGTGACTCAGCCGAAAACAAAAAACATTACACCTACTTTGGATGGAAAGAGGAACACAATTGTGCGTAAATCCTACCGTTCAGAAAGAACACCGAGGGGTTCCAGGAACGATTTGTCGTGTCTATTCAGAGCACAGAAAATGAAAATGTACTTGTATATACTTCCAGTGGTTTTGTTGTAGTGTAAGACTGCATAGAGATGTAGTAAAGACACAATCTTATCGGCCGAAGTGATAAGAGAAAGGAACTTTGATTTTGAGGATCTTCCGAATTAATGGCACTATGTAAAAAGCATGTAATCTCAAGGCTATGATATCTTAAAGACCTTTTTACCTTAGTAAGCCTACTCAGGCAAGTCCACGGCGTCTTCAGTGGTACACTGTAGCTCTGAATATGGTGAAATTTACGAACGTTAAGGAAACAGCAATAAAAGAATATGCTTAACAACATCTTGATTTCAAGTACCCTCTGAGCAGTATTCTTATTGAACGTGTACGGTAAATAGAAAAGTACATATTTTTTTAAATTTTCGCTGGATTGCTGGCACGAGTTGCTATTTTGGCTCCCAACCTCCGCCCGAAGGAAACTTCCGGCTTTCGTGAAAAGCCAAGAAAGACAACAAAACACAAAATAGTTCAAGGAAGCGAAGAAAAAAGAAAAACTTAACTTTCAAGTTTTGTATAAGACAAAGTAAATCTTTCTTACGTTGCCCCCTAAAACGTTCGTCATGCATTTGTGGCTGTCGTCGTATCGCTTGTAATCCGCCGTAGGTTGTATTGTTACATGTAAAACGTTGTCTTGCGCTTTCCTCAGCTCGAGGAAAAGAAACTGTGGGTTCCCTCTCTACTGGTAAGGCTCTCTGATTCTCTCTGGCGTACTCCACACGAGCTCTTTCATTCCCTGATGGTCGGATGATTTTTACCATGTTGTAGAGTTTGATCATACAGCAGATAACAACAACTAATAGGACGACGCAAGCAGAACTGAGCATTTCGGTGATCATGACTGGGGAATAAGCTCCGGCTTCGATGCTATTACAGGCGTCCAAATAGAAATAGGGCAATATGCAAGAAGGGTTGGTCAGTAATTGCTCTTCTGCGAAATAAGGATTTATTGTAGTCGAGCTGAACTTACGAATTGTTGGTTTGCATTTGATGTCACTCCGGAATTTCACAATTTTTATCGGCCGTCTTTGTGTACAGGAAGCAGGTTTGGTCAGTAATTGCTCCTCTGCGAAATAAGGTTTATTCTAGTCGACCTGAACTTATGAATTCTTGGTTTGCATGTGACGTCACCCCGGGATTTAACAATTTTTATCGGCCGTCTTTGTGTACAGGAAGTCATTACCATATGTCATATAATAATAATAAAGATCTTTATTAAGAAAGAAACACGTCCAGAAACAAAACGTCTGGACTTACAATTTCCTACATATATCTATCTATTATGTATATTCAAGACTAAGTAACTATTCTCGGGGTTTTTTTATTTTGAATTTAAATTTTTTTTTTTATGATCTTCATGCTTCGAAGCACGTTCGTCTCGCCTGTTCAGTTGTGGTTTTCCTAATAAGGCTTGTTTTCAGTTTAGATTACCTAAGTTTAGATTGTTCTGGGAGCTGCGGTTATATGTCATTCGATTTGCCCCGATGAATTAGCTTACATTGCAAATATCCTAAAAATAGGGGAAACAATCCCCTAATGCGCCAATCACAAGTTCGCAATTTTGGCTTCGCTGTGGAAACAAACACTAGCACTTAAAAAATGCCGTTGGAGAGCGTTTGGTCAGAGCTGTTGAAGAAGGATCAAAGCGGCTATCCAAATCTTTGAAAGGCTTCAAACTACGACGTACATCAAATTTGACCTTGTCGAGAACTGGTCTCACACGACATACTAAAAACTGATTGCGTTTGTCCTTGAGAACCATAGAATACGCAACAAATACGTACAAAAAATACTTTTACACATTCAGAATAAATAAAATTACATTTACCAATAGTGAGAGGAGAAAGGAACTGCTCAACTTTTACGGAATGTTCGGTAAAAATCTGCCGATTTCTGCCGCTTTCATCGCCATATTGAACGCCATCGGAGTACGCACACCGCCTGATTCACAAATGTCAGGTAAATGTATTTCAGGTAATCAACCCTTTTATCTCTGCGAAGTGCTCGAGTTTATTATTTGAATTTTCAAATAATTATTCTCTCGAAGGGATTCGGGATGTTGCGAGATTTTTCTTTCGATTTTATTGAGGTTTCAGCGTTTCCAGAAAGTCCAGAGCGTGTTGTGCTGTGTCTTACTTGCCGAAAGGTTGCATAGGAACAATATTCTCGTCACACGATCACAATTCTCGTCAGATTTTGCACCAAAATTAACGGCATTCGTTGTAATGAACACTACGATGTATTATTTGGTATGATAGAAAAAAGAAAGAGGGGCGTTGATAAATCAAGAAGAAACACGGATGGCAAAGAATGAAGAAGATTGAATTAGATTACAAATGACAAACTTATCTTGGAAGGTAAGGTCTATTTTTAATATGCATAAGGTGTGACGTAGCTGGTTGTTTCGTAACTTCTCGGTTACATTCATTAAATCTTTAAACCTGAGTAGCATCAACCATAC